CCCCCCCCAAATAAAAAAATAGCATTGTGCTCAATGCTAATATCAAAATAAGATTAGAAAAAGGTTAGAGAGTAAAAAGAACTCCCTATGTGGTCTCTGTCTGCATCGAGTCAGGAACATGAGTGAGGTCCTCAGACTACATAGGATCATCAGCTCTCTCGGTGTCCTCTAACTGGATCTCAACATCCTCTGACTGGGGGACCACGGGGTTACTGAGCATCTGGATCATCTACTCAGCCATATGTGTAGTGGCAGCCGGCTCCTCAGACTGGCCAGCTACTGCATCTGATGCCTGAGCATGGTTTCGCGGACCGCGTAATTTCATTGCGGTCGCGTAGGAGACTTCTGCGGCCGCATAATCTTGACGCGGACCGCACTTCTTGTTTTTGCTTAAAATGTAAGCTCTCTAAACCTCAGCAACCGCGGTCCGCTTAATTCCAATAGCGGCCGCGAAGGTACTTTCGCGGGCGCACCTATCTGATGCGGTCCGCGTTCATGTTTTAGCCCAAAAATCCATCTCTTTGAATCTTTCTTTCACGAAACTCGAAATAGTGCTCGCGACCGCGTTGTAGCTTTCGCGGCCGCACAATATTTGTGCGGTCCGCGTTTCACATCTATTGGCCCAATCTTGGTTTTTGTTCAAGTTTTGACTCCTTTATGAGTTAATTATGACTCCTTTGGCTCATTTTGAACAATCCCTGCAAACAAGCATATTACATTAGTTTCCGGGAATACCATCACACATTTTGGCCCTAAACACAAATAAAAGAGAGTAAATTATAGGTTAAAATTCCTACTTATCAGTTTTTTTCAAAATGTTGACCGAAGTCAAACATGGCCTCCTAAAGCCAAACTAAGGAACCAATTATTCCGATTTCAATCCGATCATTTTCAAATTATGAAACAACCATCCTCGCAAGTCATAAATTAATAAAAGCACATACAGGAAGTTTTATTTAGGGGAACGGGATTCTAAAAGTCAAAATGACCGATTGGGTCATTACACGATAGCTCACGAAATCAAATAGCAAGAAAATGACAATCCATAAGCCAAGGCACAATTTATGAGCATCAATTAACAATTAAGGCAGGTAGTAGGTAAAGCATGAATTCAACGAGTGATTACGATTAATAATTGGCATATAAGGTGATCTTGACAACAAAGATGGAATATGTGCTAACAATTTCAAGTAAAGCACGTACAAACAATTCTAACAACAAAAAATGTAGTCATGAAATGATAGTTGCAATTAATTACATGAAGGAAGCCTAACAGGCCAAACCGGTCAAATACCACATATAGGTCATGTACCCACTCGTCACCTCGCGTACACGACCTTCACATAACACGAATGATACAATCATCTCAAATCCTAAGGGGTGGTTTCCCTCACACAAAGTTAGACAAGACACTTACCTTAACAGAGTTAGGCCGATATATCAAAATGACCTTCTCTCGTGAAATGACTTCCGGACGGCTCAAATCTAGTCATATTAATTACATAAAATAATTAAAATTCATAGAAAATAATTCCAGATAATAATATGTCAATTTCCAATTTTATTCTAAAAGTTAATTCGAAAGTCAACCCCGAGGCCCGCATCTCGGAATCAGATCCATTTGGTGAAAATACTCTAAAAAATCACCCAAATCCGAGTAGGAAACACTTACCCAAATTCATTTGGTGAAAATACTCTCAAACATCGCCCAAATCCGAGTTCTCTAGCTCCAAAAATGTTGAAATGAGCTTATAAAAAAAGGTGCCCAATAAAAACACTAATCTGGTCGCTAAAAATCCATTTTCCGTCACTAAAGGTCCGCACTAGAACCTACTTGCACAAGCAATTTATTATTTCACTAAAGAGGCTCTAACTCCATCATAAAAATTCGAAATTCGACAATTCTTGTTCCTATGTATCACAAATAATAATACGAACCTAGTCGAACAATCAAAACTCAATTCAGAGCTCATTTGCTCAATGCGATACCAATTTAGCTCGTTAAATAATTAATTCATGTTTTGCGCTAAAACTCAATCGTGACTTGATGAAATTAGACCAAACATTTTAGATCATTCCTATAATTCATTATCAAACTCTCGAAAGTCTCGAAATCGAATTTCGATCTTTAGAACTAGAAATGGACCTTTGGATCATTACATGCTTATGCTCAAAACATCAAACTGTTCCAAAAACTCTTCCAAAACTCATCCAATCCCCATTGGACCCCAACCAAGTATACTAACAAGTCCCAATACATGACACGAACTTAGTCTATGTCTCAAATTACATTAAACAACACTAAAATATGAATCACACCCAAATTCAAGCTTAATAAAAACTAACGAATTCCAAATTCTACATTCAATGTCGAAATCTATCAAACTAATGCGATTGACCTCAAATTTTGCACACAAGTCATACATGACATAACAGACCTATCAAACTTTCTAGAACTAGATTACGACCCCGATATCAATAAAGTCAACTCCCGGTCAAACTTTCCAAAAACCTTCTATTTTTCAACTTTCGCCAAAGTGCTCCGAATTGTCCTACGGACTTCCAAATCCAAATTCGGGCATGCGCCTAAGTCCAAAATCACCATACGAAGCTACTGGAATCATCAAAATTTTATTCCGGAGTCTTTTTTCAAAAGTCAAATCTTCGGTCAAACTTTAGAAATTCAAACTTTATAAAATCAAACTTTTTATTATTTGTTTTTTAAAAACTAACGGAAAAAGTGCCTACGCACCTCAGAATAACTTTAAATTTTGTACATAAGTCATAAATATGGTTACGAAGCTGATCGAACTCTCGGAATCCAAATCGGGGCCCGATATCAACAAAAATCCAATTATAACCAAATTTAGGAATTCTTTAAACTTTTAAACTTCTAGTTTCCGTCAAATGACAATAATTCAAGCTAGGGGCTTCAAAATTTGATTTCAGGAATACGCCCAAGTCCCAAATCATGATACGGATCCGCCAAAATAGGCAAAATACTGATCCGGATCCGTTTGCTCAAAACATTGACTAAAGCCAACTCAAATGAGTTTTAAAGGCACAATTTCACATTTTCTTTATTTTTTCACATAAAAATTTTCAGTTAAAGATACGGATTGCGTACGTAAATCGAGAAAAGTTGAATGGAGTTATTCGAGGTCTCAGAATGCATAAATAAAAGTTAAAATTTAAAATAACCTATCGGGTCACCACAATATGTCATGTTGAATACGTTTTACAACTGCCAATATTCTGTTGTGAATCAGTCAATTGCAACCCTTTTAGATTACTAGAAATAGAGTTTTCAAGATAATTAATTATCATACATGGTAATGGGAGACACTGGAATTTTGTATTCACAATTTCTTTGCATATGTATGGATTTAATCTAAATGGAAAATAGAAATTGAATAGTTTCATGATGAAACGTTGTTGGAGATGCTATGCCGAAGTATAGTCAAGTAAAAACAATAACTTTTGTTCTATAATCTGAATATATATATTTTGGAATGATCCTCATGGAATATATACTATTCTAAACTCATTTTATTCATTTCCTTTAATATTAAAATTAAAAGAGGAGAGATGAAAGGGAAAAAGAAAAACAAAACAAAAAAAGAACAAGAAAGTCAAAAACAAAAAAAGTGTGAAAAAAAAAAACCAACACAAATTTTGACATCGAGAAGACAAATTTTATTGTACAATTTCTACAACTTTTTCCTTTGCTTTTATGTGTCTTCAAGGAAACGTGCTCACTGCCAGTCTTTCTGTGTAGATGGAGTAGTCGTCAGTTCCTCCCTCTTGGTTACTGAAATTTCTATATTATTTTCACTAAACAAAGTTCAAGATCTTAAAGATTATAATATGATAGGTACTAAAGAGGATGGTAAACATTGAGTAATTGCAAAAATAATGAGTAACATATATTTAGGAGTTGTAACAGGAACAATATTAAGTGTAATAATCATAACATATTTAATAGTAAAAAGTTCACTGAAAGGGAAAAAAAATTTGGACGAAAAATAACAAAGAATGAGAAATATAACCGCAGGAAGCGCGGATATACTCACTAGTTATTGCATAATGTGCGCAAAATGTATAGATGTCCTGTTACTTTGCCTGATGGAAGCAATGTTGTAGCCACCAACGAGGGTTCAACAAAATTTTTAGGAAATTTGGTTTTGAAAATATTCTTTATGTGACTGGCTTAATGTGCAATTTGATATCTCTGTCGCAATTGATGGATCACTCAGGTTGTTTTCCTATGCATTAAACTTTTATGTATTATACAGAGTGGGTTGCTCTAGTGGTGAGAACCCTCCACTTCCAACCAAGAGGTTGTGAGATCGAGTAACCCCAAGAGCAAGGTGGAGAGTTCTTGGAGGGATAGAGCCGAGGGTCTATCGGAAACAGCCTCTCTACCCCAGAGTAGGGGTAACATCTGCGTACACACTAACCTCCACAGACCTCACTAGTGAGATTATATTGGGTTGTTGTTGTTATTGTTGTATACAGAACATGATCACCTCGAGGATGTTGATTGGAGCATGTGAACAAAGAGATGGACTATACTATTTTTAAAACAAGACGAGGGTGTGTGCCTGAAGATAGGTGGTGTTGACTCGTTGGATCTTTGGTACAAGCATTTGGGACATCCTTCTCTGCGAGTGACCAAATTAATTTTTGTTGTAGATTTTCAGAAAAAAAATTAACGTTTTGAATAAGAGTTGTGATGTGTGTCATCGGGCAAAACAAAAGAGAGAAAATTTTCCTTTGAGTAATTTTAGAGTTTCTAGCATTTGTGAATTAATTCATTGTGATTTATATGGGGACCTTATCAAATGATTTCGTATTGTGATGCATCATATTTTTTACTATTGTAGACGATTATTCGCGCGCTGTGTAGATTTTCTTATCGATTGATAAGAAAGAAGTAGCCAAACTGTGAATAAGTTTTTTTGCTATGATAGAGAGAGACAATCCAATAAGCTGAGTTAAAATTTTCAGGAGAGACTATGGAACAAAGTTTACTTGTATAAAAAATTATGTTTTGAAGTGGGGTTATTTTCAAACTTCGTGTACAAGGGCACCAGATCATTGATGTTAGGTAGAAATTGGTTGGACGCCAATATTGAAATAGTCTCAGTTTCTTTAACTTTGTGAGCACTGTTGATATATCTACTCTTTTATATGTCGATTTTTGATTTGTCATCAAATTCAAAAAAGAAACTTTTGAAACTTATGGTTTAAAATAAAACATAAATATTTGCTTGATTGTAAATCAAATGGATAAAGTAGAAATATTAAAGATAGATTGTTTCTAATTATGAAGTGCCTCGATCTTTTTGAGATCAACTTTAATACCCTCGCCCGATACAATATGCCCCAAAAATGCTACAAGAGTCTAGCCAAAACTCACACTTGGAGAACTTAGCATATAACTTTTGTTCCCGCAAGGTCTGAAGCACCACTCTCAAATACTGCTCGTGTTCCTCCTTACTGCGCGAGTAGATCAAAATGTCATCAATGAAGACAATGAAAAATGAATCAATATATGGCCTGAACACCCTGTTCATCAAATCCATAAATGTCGTCGGGGCGTTAGTCAAACCGAAGGACATCACCAGAAACTCATAATGACCATATCTAGTCCGGAAAGCAGTATTCGGAACATCCGAATCCCGAATCTTCAACTGATGGTACCCCGACCTCAAATCGATCTTAGAGAATACCCTAGCACCCTGCAACTGGTCAAATAGATCATCAATATGCGACAACGGGTACTTGCTCTTAATGGTAACTTTTTTCAATTGGCAATAATCAATACACATCCGCATAGTTGCATCCTTCTTCTTCATAAATAATAACGGTATACCCCAAGGTGACACACTTGGTCTGACGAACCCTTTGGCTAATAACTCCTCAAGCTGCTCTTTTAACTCCTTCAACTCTTTCGGAGACATGCAATACGGTGGGATAGATATAGGCTGGGTATCTAGAGCCAATTTAATACATAAATCAATATCACGATCTTGTGGCATGCCTGGAAGGTCAGAAGGAAACACATCGGATAACTCTCGAACTATGAGCACTGAATTAATTGCCGGAGTCTCTGCAGTAGTATCCCGAACATAGGCCAAATAAGCCAAACAACCCTTCTCGACCACGTGTCGAGCCTTCAGAAAGGAAACTACCCGACTAGATGCACTGACAGACGAACCCCTCCATTCCAATCTTGGAAACTCTGGCATAGCCAAGATAACAGTGTTGGCATGGCAATCTAGGATGGCATGATATGGAGATAACCAATCCATACCTAGGATGATCTCAAAGTCGGTCATATCAAGCAGCAGAAGATTTACTCTAGTTTCGTAATCATAGAATGTAACAATGCAGGACTGCTAGATCCGATCCATAACAACAGAATCGCCCACAGGAGTGGGCACATAAACAAGAGTACTCAAGGGCTCACGAGAAATAAGAAACTCTGCTCGTCTCCGCTACACCCATAGTACGGGGAATACGATGGCACTCCTCCAGAAAATCTTGAGTATCATCTGTAGCCAATACGCTGAAACTAGGCGGGCGGTACTTTTTGTACCTCTCAAGTCTGAGCTGCTCTGCCTCAGAAGCTGATGCCCTAACCTCGGGCTGAGCTGGAGCTACCGGCTGTATGGGTACAATCTCTAGAACTTATCACGACTCAATTTCCCCTCTGTGTGACGTCGTGACGACACCTAGTCTCTACAACTAGGTAAGACTAACTTTTTTTTTGCAGACTAGTGAAATAAAAATAAAAATTTAACCAACTATTCAAAAATACACAACAAATCCCAAAACCCGGAGAGGGGATCCAGGTGGATCCGAAGAAGATTGAAGCAGTGCAGAGTTAGCCCAGACCGTCCTTAGTTACAAAGATCCGGAGTTTTTTTTAAATGAGCAAATAGAGATGATACAAAGGAATATGTAGACCCTGGATCAAATAATACTGAGGCATCTTTGCCGCAGACAGAAATAATACATGTGATCACGGCATCTGAGGCCTCTCCATATAGTCTAGTCGGAAAAGCAGAGAACTTAGCTGGTGCGCCACCTGGCTGGCCTCCATCTCTAGGATGGACCCTACCCACCTGCCCTCCACCTCTGGGCGGCCGGACGACTGGTGGGGCAACTGGTGTGGTAATCATGGGCTGCTGACCCTACTGCACTAGCCTACCCCGAAGCCTGGGGCAGAACCTCCACATATGACTGAAATTCCCGCACTCGAAACAACCCCTCGGTACGGTGGACTGCTGACCTGAAGTCTGGCCCTGATGACCTAAATACCCACTGGAAGAACTCTGAATAGCTGGTGGGCGGTAAGAACTCTCCGACATAGCACTGAAATAAGGTCTCACTGGAGCACCCCCGAGGTGGCAGTGGTGCTGGGTATGGGGCCCTACTGGACTGACCACTCACGAACTGACCTTTACCCCCAGACGGGGCACCTCTGAACTCTCCAGAATATCTAAACCGCTTATCTCTCATAACCTGATCTCGGCTATGCTGACGCACACCCCCAATCCCAGTGTGTAAACCCATAACAAACATTCGTACTCTCTCTGTATCAGTAGGTAATATCATAAGCGCATGGCGAGACAACTCAGAGAATTTTGCCTCATAGTCAGTCACTGACCTCTGACTATGCTGGAGCTACTCGAACTGAAACGACAACTCTTCCCTATGGGAGGGTGGAATATACCTATCCAGGAAGATACGGGTAAACTTATCCCAAGTCATGGGAGAAAAATCTGCTGGTCTGCCAAGAAAATGGGACTGCCACAATCTACGGGCCCTGCCCTCTAGCTAAAAGGTAGCAAAGTCTACCCCATGGGACTCCAATATCCTCATGTTTTGCAGTTTGTCCCTACACCGATCAACAAAGTCCTGGGGATCCTGATGTCGCTCACCCCCAAAGACAGGAGGATGTAGCATGGTCTATCTGTCTAATAGCTTATGCGGCTCGCCGACCGCAGCTGGTCTGGGCTAAGGTGTAGCTGCCGCCACTAGCTGGGCTCTGCCCACGGAGAGTGCACCCTGGGTCCGATATGCTGCAACTGCATGCCTATGAGCTTGCGCGGCAGCGGTCTGTGCTCCCCCTCCCGCCTAAGATGTGGTTGGGTCTATTGGAAATAAACTGGCCTGATTCATACTATCCATGAACCACAACATACGGCCCATGGCCTCCTGGAATCCCGGTGCGGACATGATATCCGCCGGAGCTGGCTCTGCTGCGGGCACCTTGTCCTGCTCCTCAATGATAGGATCCTCTGCTGGACCCACTGGTGGCATAGCTGGAGTAAACCTGGGACGTCCTTTTCCCCTGCCACGGGCCGGAGCCCTCCCTCGGCCTCTGCCTCGGCCTCTAACAATAGAGGGAGTAGCTCTTCCCTGGTCTGGAACCTCCGTCGAGCGCATTCTCACCATCTGTGACAAAATAGGAGAAAGATACTCAGTACTACACCAACTGCATGATAGGATATTAAGAAAGGTAGTTTCCTAACACCCTATAGCCTCTCAAAGCTAAGTACAAATGTCTCTGTACCAATCTGCAAGACTCTATTAGGCCTGCTCATAACTTGTGAGACCTACGTGAACCTAGTGCTCTGATACCATGTTGTCACAACCCAATTTCACCTATAGATCATGATGGCGCCCAACATCACCGCTAGGCAAGTCAACTAGTGAATTAAACATATATTTCCACTTTTAATAAATTTCGGAGTAATTAAAATCTCCTTACTTGGAAGATTTAAGAAGAATAACAAGTCTAAATAAATAAAAACCAAAGTAAAATTTCAAACCACAATTCTACTAGCGTGTGTGTGTGCCAAGACCTGGTATCACAAGTGTACGAGCATCTAGTATATTATACAAATTTGTAACCACTGTCTGAATATGAAATAGACAGAATACAAAATACAAAAGAGAGAGACACAAGGTGCTGCAGAATGGCTAAGGAAAAGCAGCTCACCACTAGGCCTCAGGATTATGGGTATGCGCACTGGTAGGACCGCCAGATGCACCTGTCTCAGATCCTGCACAAAAAGTACATCAAGCGTAGTATGAGTACGTACACAATATGTTCCAGTAAGTATCAAGTCTAATCTCAAAAAAGTAGTGACGAGAGATCGATTTCGACACTTACTATGGGTCAATGATATTAAGATAAAGATTTTTAAATAAACATGATGTAGGTAAATAAAAATAATTTCCTTAACAAGTAGAAATAAATAATTCTTTCGTAATTTAAAATTTTCTAATAAATCATTTATCTTCACAAGCTGCAATAAAAATATCAAAGCATCGTGTAATTGTTGTTATTAAGCACGATTTATGCCGAGGTCGTACGACCTGATCCATAGTGACGTGTACAATGCCGAGGGACATGCGGCATGATCCATAGATGTATCTATCTACTGTCGAGGCGTTCGGCCCTCTCCACGAAAAGAGAAGGATGTTTTATAATCATTTGACTTAAACATTATTAATGATTTATATCCAAGGTAATACAAATTTCTCTAACAAGTTCCAATATAATTTAGGTATTTTTAGTTTAACATGTACAATGCAAAATTCCAAATAGTTCATGAATTGGGTCCTAATACTACCCAGAAAATAGCATAATAGTAGCTACGCACGGACTCTCGTCACCTCGTACGTACGTAGCCCCCATAATTAGAATAAATATTTATTTAAAACACCTATGTGGTAATTTCCTTCTTAAAAGGTTAGACAAGAG